CACCACTACACCCAGCCACACCACAGGTTTTTTGAAATATGATACATATATGATTTGGTGGTATATGAAATAGGCATTTGCCAGGCATGGTGGCACATGCCTGGATTTCGAGCAGCTCAGGAAGCTGGGGCAGGAGGATCACAAGTTTGAGGCCAACCTCAGCAACTTAGTGAGGCCGTAAGTAACTTAGCAAGATCCTGTTTTAAAAAGAGTTGGGGCTGGGCGTGCTGGTGCATGCCTATAATCCCAGGCACAGAAAGCTGAGGCAGGAGGATGGAGAGTTCAAAGCCAGCCTCAGCAACTTATAAAGGCCCTAATCAACTCAGTGAAACCTGGTCTCTAAATAAAATATAAAAAAGGGCTGGGGATGTGACTCAGTGGTTAGGCACCCCTGGGTTCAATCCCCAATACAAAAGAAAGAAAGGCATTTGCTAGTTGTACATTTCTTTTTACTGTTACTTGTTGTTTACTGGATTTCTAGTTATGGAATCAATATACTTTCCATTTATAGTACAAATTTTCTTTTAAAGAAAACAGTCAAATAAAAATTTGGAGAATGTAATAGCATAGGCGGTTATGAAGAAATGACAAAAATGTCAAAAGTGGTATATAAATGCCTTAAATATAACAAGAGTACATAAAAGATCTACGTGAAAGTGCTATGCCCATATTATAGACAGATCATTCTGGGAAAAAATGTGGAAGTTGGAGGGTATACGACAAAAGCCTAGGCCATAGGTCAGCAAATTACACAGTCCATTAGCACTATCCTGCAAGCTAAAAATGGTTCTCACACTATCTGGTCCTTCACAAACAAGTTTATCAATTCCATCTTACTCAATGAACAAAACTACTGAGTCTGGGGGTGCTGGGGTTGGGTTCGATCCTCAGCACCACATAAAAATAAATAAATAAAATAAAGGCATATTTAAATAAAAGAATTTAACAACAACAATAAAAACACTACTAAGTCTGTAGTATGAGGGTAAAAAATAAAAAATTTCTGAAGCAAATCAACAAGACTTAATGACTTACGAGATGTATTTTAAGTCTTGTATCTGGTAAGAGCAGGTAAAGGCAGGTTTCTATTTAAACCTCAGGGGAGATGGGGATACCATTATCCAAGAGAGAGGAACAAAAAGAAAGTATCTTTTAAAAATCAAGTCATTTTTCACTGGTTATATCCACATTTAAAGTCACTTTTCAGTGCTATATAATACTATAATGCTTTGAATGTTCTAATTTAAAATATAGGCAAAAATCCATTTTTAGTATGATAAAATTTTTAATCCTGAAACCTGAACTGCCTTTAGAAAAGCATGCATACATAAATTCATTTCAAACATTAAAAGTCTAATACATGCCATAAAAATATTACAATTAATACTATAAATCTACAAACTTGGTATGGATCTACAACCCCTTATTTGAAGGTACCCTTTGAAGCAAAATGTATTTCTGTATTTAGACTTGTTCAGATTTAGGAAGGGTTAAAGCAGTTAGGATTTTAGTAGGAAACAGGAAGCACATTCAAATTGGGACATAAGAGATTATGTATAAAGAAGACACGGTTTAAGGAAACTACAAAATATAGTGAGATACTATACCTGAAGTAGAGGTTAAGAGTGGGCAATTACCAGAACGCAGACATAGAAACGATTACCCAACAAAACCCAAAATCCTCATAGAGAGATGCAAGCAGCAGAGAGGACCCTGCAGGAAGGGAGCCAAGGGAATACATACCCCAACTTTTCTTTCTTCCCTCCAATACCCTGTTTATATTCCCTAATGGCCAATTGGAATGCAGAGAAAAGAGAAGCCCAACAATGTCCTCCAAAGAGGCCAGCCTCTGAAAAACAGAGTGAATGTAGAAAGGCAAAGGCAAGTTACCCAGCACTCAGTTATATTAGTCATCACAGACTAATTTCTGTCACAAATAACCCCAAAATATCACTGGCTAAGACAATAAAAGTTTTATTTTTCACCTACATCATATCACCTGGTAGTTCTACTTCTTATAGGGGCCTGGAGATGCCTTCCACTGAATCTTGTGTTTCTAATAGACATTCATTGAGGAAAGCAAGAATGGAGGATTGGTATGAGGTTAGACACCAGGCCTGAAATGATATATATCACTGGAACCTACATTTATTTGCTGCACAAATACTACCTAACTACAAGGATGCTAGGAGTACAGTGATGTGCCCAGAAAGATAAGTCCAGATATGCCTTATTATGCAGTGTATACAATTCCAGTGGAAACTGGAACAGCATCTCAAAATCAACATAATGTTTCTGCAGAGAAACATTAATATTAACACTAAGTATACTAAGATTATAGGAATAAAGAAAAAAAAAACTCACACCAATGCAAGTATAAAATGTTCCAAATAAATTTTAGTGCCAAACTTTTTTTTAAAAAACTTTAAGTTTCCAGGGGATCTGGGATTCCAGAATTACAGATAAGGGATTATGAATGTGTATATGATCCACAAAACAGGAGACAGAAAGTATAGACAGAATTTTTAAATTCAAGTCTACAACTTGCAAATTTATGTTTAAGATGCAGGGAAAAACCACAAATGACCAAATGTCTCTTATTACTGTAGACATTATTAATTATATCAGTCCTCAGACATGAAGAAATTTTTTCAATCGACTCCAATATTTATTGTATCCTAATCTTTATAAGCATTCACTATGCTAGAAGATAGAGGAATACAAGTCAGAATATGGTAAAAAAACAATTTAAAATACCTTTAATAGTAAAAAACAGACTCTGTGTAAGGCAGTAATATAGGACTAAAAGTTGGTGACAGTCAACAGAAAGGCACTACTTATTCTATCTTTAAGATAAGTGGCAGGAACAAGAAATACAAAGTTAAAGTTGGAGACTGTTAAAAGAAAAAGCACTGCATACTTTATGCTTAAGATAAAAAGTAAAAATAAAAGGCCTCCCCCAATTATCCACTGTTCAAGACAAACAAGAAGAAAACATAAAAACTAATGCAAGCAATTTGGACCATAACCTCTTGAATGAAACTGTACTTAAATGGATTTTTGCATTAAAATATATTGGGAGAGTGGGGGTGGGGTGACACAATTTTGGACATATTTTACATCGTATGCAAAATAGCACAGAAGTGCTAAGATTACAACATAATCATAAATATTGCTACATATATAAATATGCAACTTATATATTATAAATTTATGTATTTATAAACATAAATATACACATTCATATAAATATGCAAATTTCTGGTCCACAACTGTATAATATTGTTTGCCCTCTGACTTCCTTGCCACTCTGTCTATGGAGTGGTTACTTTGCTGCCTGGCTACTCTGCCTTTGGGGTAGCCACCCTGCTATACTAATCAATGCAACAAATGATTCTTTCCACCTCTCTGTTAGCTGTATTTGATGTCTATCCTGCATGAGCTAAAAGACCAGCTTGAGTAGGTGATGCTAAGTATAAAAGCCTACTATGACTGATTCTGAAGTGTACAATTAGGGAAGGCTCACATAAAAGGTACTGACATCAGAATTAAACCTAGAGTTACAGTTTTGAACAAGGAAGAAAAGTACTTTGGGAAGATGAGGGAGGCTGCACACACACAAAAAGGAAGTCTTTAAAGGCTTGAACAATGGCAAATGATTTTTGTTATTTGGCTAGGTGATGATGTGGTTAAGAGATTATGAGAACACATCTGGATCCAAGAGTAGGAAGGAGAAAATACTGAATTTTACATAAAGCGAGTATGAAGTTTTTGAAGCACAATAAAGTATTGTGTAAGTTTAGTACTCAAAAGATCAGAATTAGCAAAATAAGTCATGCTGACAGTCAGCTCTGGGCAAAAAATATTACTATTATCAACTATGTATGTCCCCAAAGCAAGAATGACCAAGTAGGTGGAGAAAGCACAGTATCAAACTCCTGAGCATTATCTTAGAAGTCTAATTTTAATATTTACTCTGGTTGCCAAGAGGCTTCTTTTGTTTACTTCTTAGGTCTGAGCACACTAACCTCCAGTTAAGTAAACTTATTACATGTACCATATAAATTAAGATTTAGCAGGCAGTTGTTCTATTCATTCAAAAGAAAAAAAAAATTTACAGCAAAGTAAAACAAGTGAGGAACATGTATTGACTTGTACTTTTGCCATTTATAAAGCAATTTCCTTGTATGCCAACACTATTGTTCACAGCCCTATAATACTTAAAAAGTGCTAGCCAGTATGATGAAAACATGAACACAACACAACCAACTTCCTTATACACTGTTATCAAGGAAAAGAACTAATCAAAACACAAAATTCCTGTAAAGAATTTCCTTAACGTCTTCAAGGCAAGTGGTTTGGTGATTTAATACAAACACATACACAACTTTATAAAATCATATGCAATTCTTAGTTTAAGTCTCATAGAAATTCAGTTTAACTTCTTAAGACTACTTTATTTGGGGCTGGAGTTGAGGCTCAGTGGTAGAGCACTCGCCTAGCACATGCAGGGCACTGGGTTCGATCCTCAGCACCACATAAAAATAAAACAAAGGTATTGTGTCCACCTATAACTAAAACAAAACAAACAAACAAACAAGACTACTTTATTTACCCAAAATTAAATTACTGGAATGTATCCCAATAATTCCTAAATCATTTTTTTAAACTTCAAAATATTTATAACTAGAAACTATCCTATAAACATACACCCAGATGCTTGACAGAAAAAAAAAAAAGACATCTATCTTGAACATACTTATTTGATTTTAAATCACGCTACTCATACCCACAAGAGTGTATTCATGTATTTAGAGTCAATCCAGTGAAGAAATTCATTAATGTATATACACAGATAAGAGGAATAACAACATGGTATTCACTAGGTTCTTTAACTAAATGAACAGATTGTAAAAGACTTTATTTGAATGCCTTAATCTCTGTTAAAGTCTACCTATTTACACCAGTTATTTGGAAAATTCTCAGTTGGATACTTCCAAACAGCAAATAGCAGGTCAAGTTTCAAACATGTGACTTGCTCATTAAGTATATTTAAATAGCATGTAGTGAGTTAGAAATCCCCATCAGAATCAGATTCTCCAGGATACCAGAGAAAGGCTGACTTCTCAACCTTCGAAAACAAAGCAAAACAAAAAAATCAAAAGGTAATATTAATTTGACATTTTTCTCGATTATTTATTAGAGGCAAATATAACTTTTAATATATATTAAATTTCTAAAATAAAAGTTTAAATTTTAAGTTTAAAAAATTATAATAATCATATCCAGAATGGGCTATATATTAGTAAGCCATTAGATTTAAATACAGGATAAAAGAAAATTATCCTTACTTTAAAAATGGTTTGCATTAAACTTTTGGTATAGAATCTACTATGTCTTCACAGTCCACAACCACTAAAAAACACTGAACTAAGACTCAAGTTCTAGCTCTGGTATACTCAGGCAAGTTATTCCTCTTGTGTGAGCTCATTTGAATAAAAAAGGAATTGATTTTGATCAATTCTAAGTTTCCTTTTATCTTAAAAGCTATGAAATTCTCCAGAAACTACTTTTTTTTTTTTTTAAAGGGAAAAAACGAAGGACATCCCAAGCACTGGGAGAAATCCTCTTTTAGTGTTGGGTGTAAACATTTAGAATGAATACCCTAATTGTGACCTAAGCTTAAACCTTAAATTGTTGGAATTAAACCTTAAATTGTTGGAATAAAAGCCAACAGAAGTCTAAAGAAAGAAAAAAAAAAGTCAACATTTATTTCATTATTCATTTTGCTACTTTACACTCAGAAACTGTCTATCATTCTTTGGCCCTTACTCTACTATATATATTAATCTGAAAGGAAGTACCCATACTTATACCAGATACATAGTGTTTAATTTATCTTCCCTTTTATTAAAAAAGGAAAACTGAATTAAGCCCTCTTTACTCTAGATTGTTTATGCCTTAAGTGGTGACCCTAGATAGAAAATGGGCTTATGTCAGCAGATGTTGAGAAGGAAAGCTTTTCATTTGCTCACTAACAGTGTAAAAGCATACTGGCATAACATGAATGTACTAAATAAACACAATCAAGGATATATGCTTGTCTATTTGTTGTCTAAGACATAGATGAAATTTATATAATTATTTTAAAGCAGACAAAAATGATGTTCAAGGCACTCATCACCAGCCTGCTCCTCGTGTTTATTCACATTACGGGAACAGTTTCAACATCTACGACCTCAGTTTCTATGAGCCCGAATTCCAGCATGAGCCCAAACCCCAAGACAAACCAAAGTCTTGGGACCAAGCATAATCCTATGAGAAGTCCAGATATCAAGAATCCCAAGATGACTCAGAGTCCCAAGATGACTCAGAGTTCCAAGATGACTCAGAGTTCCAAGATGATCCCGAGTTCCAAGATGACCCCGAGTTCCAAGATGACCCCGAGTTCCAAGATGACCCCGAGTTCCAAGATGATCCCGAGTTCCAAGATGATCTCGAGTTCCAAGATGACCCCAAATCCCAAAACAAACCAAACATCAGCAATAACCCCAAAGACAGTTACAACTCAGCCGACAATGAATGTAATAAATGGTAGCACAATACTCAATGCAATGCTCAACATTCACTTTCTTTCCTATGTAGGCTTTTTACTATTTTGTGTGTATTCAGGCTGAAGTGAACCTGTTGAACAGCCTACATTTTTATCTTGGTTCCTTATTATCTGCTGAATGATAAGCACACTAGGAAAATAAAATTTATTTCAACTTACTATTTAAGAAATTATCATTATCCTGGTATGGTTTGGTTGTTTGCAGATTTTAACTATATAAGTTTAAACATTATATGATAGTTTCCGTCCTTATAAAAAAGTATGTACTTACTTCCTTATTAAATGCCAAAATAAGCAAAATACCACATTTGTCTTTTAAATGTTTGCAAAATTCAATTGAAACTCAGATGTTTATATTAAAGGTATAAGAGAAAAAACTATGTAGGTGGTATTTAACCAAAGAGGATTGGGGATATAGAGGATAAGGGATAGGAGTGGTTTGAAGCAAGTTGTTGTATGTATTGCCTAGTTTTTTAAAAAGTAGATCAAAAAGTGCTAAGCTGGTAACGAGAAATAACAGTCCTTTACAAAAACAACAGTCCTTTACTGGGTTGAGGTTGTGGCTCAGTTGTAGAGTGCTTGCCTAGCATGTGTGAGATACTGGGTTTGATTCTCAGTACCACATATAGATTAATAAATAAAGGTCCATCAACAACTAAAACAATACTTTAAAACAACATCATTATTTTGTGAATGTGTATTAGTAATATGTCATCCAGTAAAAAAGCATGCCAACTCTGCTAATGATTCAATTTTAAAATTATCTTATTTTGAGTAAACCCTTGTCTTGTGTTTCAAAAGACCATTTGTAAATCAGATACTTAGGATCCAAAATTCATTTTCTCCACAGAAATGTTTAGATTTTCATGCCCATCTACAAAGATTAATTTAAACCCCAAAACAGTATAAAACAGTAATAACCATGTTATTAATAGTCCAATTGTTACAAGTTTTGGTTTGGATTTAGAACCCAATTCTGATTTTTACTAGCTGTGCTACCAGGGTTTAAATGTGTGACCCAGCAGGATTCCCAAGCAAGCTTCAATAGTAAACTGACTATAAATGAGTCATGAGAGGGGCCTATTGAATACATAGGATTTGCTCCTCAGCCCAGGGAGGAGTGTAGGGATCTATTTAATTTTTCAGATTATTTTGATAGGTGGTTTGGGTTTCAATTTATACACATGTCAATTACTGTTAACACTACTGAAGGTCATTTATTGTAAGAACAAAGCGATAAATTATATAGCATGCACAGTTTATCTAATGCAAAGAAAGCACTCAGTAATGTTAACTATTATCATTATTAATATCATCAAAAAGTAATTGCCAAGTACCATAACATTCCAAAGAGGAAAACTCTTCATTCTAACTTTTAGATTTTATATTTTAAATTATTCTTACAAAAATAATATGCGCTCCTGGCAACAAGTGAAAAAATATAGACATGCAACAGAAATATAATTGGCCCCTTACCTTCTCCAAGCATATTCACTCCCGAGATAAGTAACATCAAAGCATGTGTGTGTGCACTCGCGCCTGTGTATATTGCTGGAGAATGAACCCAGACCCATGTTAAGTATTCGCTCTACCACTAAGCAATACCCCCAGTCTGATGTGAATAGTTTCACATATTTTTCAGTTCATACATACACATTTACATGTACTTGCATACACATTCATTCACAGTACTCGTACCTTATTAAGTGACGGAGTCATCTTTCTGGTTCTTTTTTTTTTTTCTAACACATACATATTTTTTTAGTTGTCAATGAATACTTATATGTGGTGCTGAGAATAGAACACAGTACCTTACACATGCTAGGTAAGTTCTCTACCGCAGTGTCTTTCTGGGTCTTCTTAAAGCTGCATGTAGAGAACTGCAAAATGGATGCTTTCCCAGCATCCATTTAACCCCTTCTGGTATCAGCAATCCAATTTTCTTTTGTGAAACCCTGCTCTCACACTTGTCTTTCCGTTCATGCAATTCAGGTCTGGCTGGTTTCACCACTGAACTCTAGAAATGAGCACATGATCCAGGCCTAGATAACCAAGAAATTCTATCCCTCTTGCCTAGTGATCGCCTCAGGGACTCAAGTCAGGCCATAAAACCAACTACTTTTGCTGAAATTACTGGGAAAGAGGTATTTTTCCATTGGGGTTGTTAAGCGGTGAGCACATAAACCACTGCTGACTGCAGCTGGGGAAGAGATTCTTGAGAATAAAACCACATGAAGAAAGGAGAGTCAAGAACTAGAGAAGGCATGTTCCCCAGATGTGCATCTAGTCTCTTGATCATCTTATGTACATGTGCAAATAAAGTCCCTTTTTTGTTTATACAAATTTAAATTGTATTGTCACTTAAGCAAAATTAATAACACACTGCACTAGTCCACGGTCTATATTTATATTTATTCAACTGTGATAGTCAAGCCAAAGTGACTCCATTTTGTTTAGTAACTCTATTTTGTAAAACAACCATGCCAAGTACAAGGGTCATGACCAGGGCAAGATGTTCTTTTCCTTTTGCTATAGAAACCTTTAAGAACACGGAATGACCTAATGGGGCACTGTTTCTGTAACTAGGGTAATGGGGCTCTGTTTCTGTATCTGGGGTGAGTGGGCTAACTGTGATTGGCTAAGCGTCCCCACCACCTGACTGCACTCTCCCACTTCTGTAATTTGGCTTGCTTACATTGGCTGGATCCCCAAACGTCCCTTTTGTGGTTTTCAGGCTTACAGGGAATGCCCTTGCAATTGTTCAGGGCTGATCAGGGGGAACAGCTTTATGTTCTGGTCAGTCGCCACCAGTGTGCTTCAATAAAGGCTTGATTGGATTATACATGAGTGGTCTGGAAGTCGATTTATGAAACCCCAGGATGATACTTGAACTATAACAAACAATTCTTTTCAAACAGTTATATTGAATAAAACAAATAGATTTAAATATCAATAATGATAATAATAATATAATACAATTAATACAGGCAAAAGCATAAATATAAAGAAGGGAACAACAGGAAAAGATCAGAAAATTAAATTAGGCCAAATTATGCAGATCCTTTTATGCCTAATTCCAGAATTTGGTCATTAGATGCAAAGTCAGTGGAAAAGACAAAATTAGATTTGTACTGGAAAACAATTCCAGAGCAATGTTAAGATGACCTGGAAGTAGTCATCTGATGATTAGGGAGGCAGAAGAGAATGCAATAGTATATGAAAGAGATACTGAGAATCCCAGCAATGCAGTTGAGTTTCAAAATACATTTCCAAAATACTTAATAGCAATATGAGAACATTAAGATCCAATTTTTAAAAATTAAAACACAAACCTAGGGACAGTACCAGATCAGTGTGTCACTTTGTGGTCACATTTTTAATCACATGACTGCTACACCAGGAACATGTACTTGGCTTAGGGAAAGCCAGAAACCAACTGGCCGGCCAATGTCTAGCATGAAAAGTTTTGCCAACAAAGATACTTTTTAGCTGAGTCACATTTTCTTCCTGGAATTTCAGGTATGCAGTACTAAGATAACAAAGGAGTTGGATAGAAGAGAGGAGGGTCATGCAGTAGAGCTGAACAGGAAGCCAAGTCAGTCAACATGCATAAGCTGGTTCCAGAACTGATAGCTGGATCTACTTTGCTTCATGCTTTTCTTGAGGTCTATCTTCTTGAGAAAATAACTGTGTAGTAACAAAAACCTAACTAAAACACCTCAATTGATTTGCCAGCATCTTATAGGTAAAATCAAGACCCAGTGAGTGATAATAAGAAAGATGAAAGAAAAAGGGAAGAATCTAAAACAAGTAGGTTTTCTATATGGGGAAAAGGAAGGGGTAATCAAAGTCTGAAATGTCTGATCTTTGAGATTAGAATCCACAATCCAAAAAAAATCACCTAATACACGATAGTCTAAACCACAGAAATACAGGAATATCAACAAAGTCAAACGTTTTGGCTCTTCAACAAAACTACATAAAAGCATGAACTTAACTACTTGTAAATTTGTACAATGAGAAACTGGGCCTTTGTCTGCTCTATGTACTGTGTGCTCATTTGTCCTGGATGGAGGGGCGTTGCACCAGGTGAAAATGAGGACCAGGAGGATCTCTTGTAGGTTCTAAATAAGAAACTTTTAAAAAGGATTGAAATATGAAATTGGCAGAATTATATAAAAAGAAAACCTCGAATTTGCACTGTACACAACTTAATAGGTCACAAAGAAACCATATAGGAGAGGTAGACAGATGTTACAAGCACATCTCTTCCCTTTTAAAAATATGAGGGAAAGTTTTAGAAAACTAAATTGCCTTAGATTATGCAGTTATTAAGCTGCAGAGCTAGAAAACCTTAGTAATCTCAAACCCCATGTTATATATGTCTAGAATATATCTATAGAGAACCCGCTGACTTAATCCCACTGAGAGGTCTGCCTAAGGCCCATCCTGCTTTTCTTCAGCCCTTAGCCTTTGCTTGACCACCACAAAGAAGGAACACAAACTTATAGTTTCTTCCCTGAAAAGAAAAAAACCCAGCTTTGAACTTTACTAGAAATCTTTGCTACCTGTAAACCAACAAGAATTCAAGAGGGATTGGGAGTTGGGGCACACATCTATCTACCTTACCAATGGTTGTTTTTTTAATTATTTACATAAAATAGGTAAAGTCAAAATATCCTAGTAGTATTAAAGGTTGAGGCTGGAATACAAATAAGGCTCATCTTCAGTACAAAAGAAAATTATCTTACACAATTTAGAAATAGTAACTGAGATGAGAGTTGAAAAGAGGACTTTGGAATGCTAAACAGATGTTACTCAAGTTGTTAGAGAGAAGGGGCAAAGAAAAAGGCAATTTTTTATAACTTTTTGGTTCCCTAATTCCCCAATTCTTTGGACATCTTGGTCTTGCTATCTGATTTATCCAACTAAACAAGTTCCAATTGTTCCATCCCTCCATTTCTCAACTTTATTTCCTAAAACTGCCAAGATTTTGCCACCCACGATCATTAAGTCCACTGACATAATTCCTCAATTTCTGTTAATTTCAGGAAATTCAGGAAGACTAAGTCCTATAACTAAACAAATAGCAAAACTAAGAATAAACATAGTCCTTGAGATTCTCAAGTAAGTGGTCTCTGTGTTCACATCATACTGCCTCAAAGGTTCAACTGCCATGAATTTATGGTCTGCTGAATATGAAAAAGTAAAACTAACCAAATAATGTTACAGTTATCAAAAGGTAGGCAGAATGAGGCAAGAAAGAAATGACAGATGGCAAAGAAGCAATGCAGCACCACAACTACCATGAAAAGAGGAGTTCCCAGTATTTCCAGAACAGTTTCTAGGAACTAGTCATGACTGCAGACAGCACTACAAACACAATCAATTTTCCAGGCTAGCCATGAAAAAATCTTTACAGATTTCCCATAGCTTCTCTGATTTATTTTCTAAATCACGCTGATAAAGTCTTACACTTCATATTACAAAAAGTTCTCAGAAATAGAATTTTTAAGTTTTATTTCTTCTTGAAGAAAAAAAGTTCCTGATTATCATGTTGTAGATACTATTAAATCAGAATATACCTGAAAACAAAAGATTATTTACAATTTTTCATTCTTTATAATTAACACACTGTACATCAATTTAAAAACTAATGAAGGAAAGAGAAGTCAGTATGCAACAATACTCTGAAAAGCAATTCCTAATAAACAACACATTAAGACAGGACAGCTGTTTACTCAGCCTATATACTCTGATCTGAGGTAGACTTACTTGTCTCTGAGACCTATTAATTCAAACAGGAAAAATCAAACTTGTCATCTCTCTACATTTGATGTCATTTTAAAAACTCTGTTAAGAAAGACTAAAACATTATTTCTTACCTCCGTGCAATATAATAAAAAATAGGATTCCCAGCTTTGGAAGTCCCAGCTTGGTAGAAAATACTTAATGTTTTCAAAGCTTTGAACTCTTCTTTTTCATGTACCTGATGCCTAAAAGAAAAAAGAACAGAACAATTCAGAGGCTTTATACAGTTTACTGAGTATTTTCAAATATCTACAATTGAATCACAGATGAAATGTAAAAAGGACAAAATATTTAAAAAGCAACAGGCTTTCTTAAGGCCAATTTGGCAACATGCATCAAAAATCTCAAGGTTACTTTCTGAATCACAAATGCACTTTTAGGACTATTCTAAGAAAACTATTGGACAAGAATATTAAACCACAGAATTATTTTTGTTTATGGCATTTGTTCAGAAAGAAGTCTTGAATTTTCATTTATTTGCTTTTTATGAGTTTAGGTTATCAACCTTTTCTTTTCTGGTTTATGATTTTGAGCTGATGAGAAAGACCTTTGTTTGCTCACTTTTTTTTTTTTTTTTTGATTCATGGGAACTTATCTTCATGAATGGTATAAATACCCTTTTCTACATGATTACTCAGTTGCATCAATACCATTTATCAAAAGTCCAGTCTAATGTCCCTGACTTTAAATGCCATTTTTATATTAAATTCCCACGCACACTGAAATACATTTCTGAAAAAATATGGCTTAATTTTTATAAATTCTACTAATAATTCAGTGTTCTTCTCCAATGTGAAGGTTCATATCTTTCATGAACCCCAGGAAATTCTCACCCATTACCTCTTAAAATATTACCTAAGCTTATTCTCACACTAAGCTTGGTTTCTGAAATAACCAACTAGATATATGGTAGACCTTCTAATTATATGTTCTGCATCTCTTAACCCCTTTCATATTCTCCATTTCTTTTTTCTGTATAATGACTGTACTTTTTCAAAGTACATGAAATTTGCTCAGAAAATAACTTCTCAGCTAAGTATATTTAAAATATTTTATTTTTTATATAGGTTAAGTATCCCTATTCAACACATTTCAGATTCTGAATTTCTGAAAAATCTGCATATATTCCAAACAAGAGTTATCTTGGGGGATAAGACCCAAACATAAATACAAAACTCATTTACATTTCACATACACCTTATACACATAGCTTAAAGGTAATTTTAGAAAATATTTTTAGTGCAGTTGCGTTTTGATGACTATCAAAGTCACATAAAGCTAGGTGTGAAATTTTCCACTTGTGGCATCATGTTGGCAAAGTTTTCAGATTTTGAAGATTTCAAATCTTGATTTTTTGAATTAGGGAAGCTCAACTGTATGTTTTTCTAATACTAGTATTTCTATGTATCTTGTGTGGTAGAAAAGAGTTCAGTAATTGAAACCAAAGACGCGCCATGTGTGGTGGTGCACGCCTGTAATCCCAGGCTGAGGCAGGAGGATTCCAAATTCAAGGCCAGCTTCAACAATTTAGTGAGGCCCTGAGCAACAACAAAATACCCTGTCTCAAAATTAAAAATAAGAAGAATTGGGGATGTAGCTCAGTGGTAAACCAGCCCTGGGTTCAATTCCAAGACCTCTCCTCCACCCCCTGAAATCCAATGACCTATGAATTAAATATGGAATCGTAGGCAATCAATTATTCACACTAAGTTGCATTTTTCTTAACTATAATGTGAAAATAATGTTTTCTATATACCCTTATAACTATTAAATGCAGCACAATTCACAATAGCTAAACTGTAAATGGATTAAAAAAAATGTGGCATATATACACAATGGAATATTACTCAGTAATAAAAGAGAATAAAATCATGGCATTTGCACGTAAATGGATGGAGTTCGAGAAGATAATGCTAAGTGAAGTTAGCCAATCCCAAAAAAACAAATGCCAAATGTTTTTAATGATATAAAGAGACTGATTCATAGTGGGGTAGGGAGAGGGAGCATGGGAGAATTAGACGAACTCTAGAT